GCGGACGCCACACACGACGGCGCAGCATTTCTGTGGGTTTTTCGTCCTCTGTTGCCACGTGAAGCGACGGTCCTTCTCCAGCCGCGTCGACGCTTCGCCGTCCAGCATGGCGGCGCCGGTATTTTCTGCGCCATCAACGCCTTGTCGCAAATGGCGGCGGCCTCCAGCAAGGCGCTGGAGATCTCCTCCCGCAGCTTCTTCGTGTAGTCGCCAAGAGCACCCCAACCCCCCGTCCCGCGCGCTCCGTCAGGGCGTCCTCTCGGACCCTCCGCAGGAGTGCGACCTCATCCTGCCGCTCCCGCGCCATGTCGATCATCCGCATCACAAGCGCTGCAGAGACTTTGTTTGCCTCCGCCACCAGCACACTGCCGGCGCTTTTCTCGCCGACTTCGCTGCCTCCTTGCGGGTCCGCAGCGCCCGCCCCCATTTCCGTTCGGTGCTGCTCTCGTCTTTTTCCCCGCTGGTGTTGAGTGTTATTGCCTCCGCCTCCCCCATGGCCCTGTTGGCGGCGTCGCACCTCACCCCGTACTCGCGGGTGGCCTTTTCCGCCGATGTGCGCAGGTGTGCGATGCCAACAATCCGCCTTTCCTCGAAGCAAAGGGACAAGCGACGGTGGTGGTGTTTGGTCCGCTGCACCGCCGCAAAGGGCGCAAGGGCCGGAAAAACACCCGTCACCTGCGCAGAGAGAGAAAGAAAAGCATGAGGAGAGAAGCGAGCATAAAATCCAACAAACGAGGGAATACCCTCGGCGTCGCTTCGGTTGCCCCTTCGCAGGTGTCAAGGAAAAGTGCCACAGTGGCACACTGCCGGGTAGCACAAGAAGTGACGGAAGGAAGAATGAGGGGCGGGGCGCAGCGACATGATGATGGTGACGGAGCGAAACGACGCAAGCGCCACACGGCAGACACGCAACCCCCCGCCCCGCTGCGTGACTGGACGGGTGAAGGGGGTGGCCGCGATGGTGAGGAAGAGCGCGGGGTGTGGCGCCGCGATGCTCACGGAACACGACTGTCACCCCTCCCTCCAAGGTCGAAGGCACCCGCCCCAGAAATTGCGGGATAAATCAATATCAACAGAAAATACAAGACGGGGGACGACGCGCGCACGTGCAGTCGCATCCAGACAAAAACAAAAAAAAAGCTGGAAGGCAAACTCACGTCGCTGAGAAGATAATAAAACAAAAACAAAAAAACAAAAAAAGCTGCCGAGTTGTCTCACCCATGCAGATCGGCAAGAAGCGGCCCGGCAGCGGCAGTGACCATCATGGAAGCTGAACACAAAAGGCCTCTGGCAGGATCCTTCTGCCCCTTTCGACACCCCTCACACCAAGCCCCCTTTTTTTCCCACTCACTCATATATATATATATATATATATATATATATGCTTGTATGTACCCGGATGATACCACCCGCCATGTCATCTACTCCCCGCCTTTTCCGGCCTCCATACGGCTCACTCTCTCTCCCTCTCATTCCATCAGCTCTCACCTTTCTTTTCATGTTTCGCAGGTTGCATCCTCCACGCCCGGTGCATCATGTCAACATGTTTCAGTAGCCGTAGTAGAAATGTCGATTTTTGCCACCCACACTTTGGTTCAAAGACAACGGCTCCGGGTGGTCCTGCCACACCCTGCTGCCGCCACTTTTCTCCCCGTCCGCCGCTGCGTCGTCACGCTCTATATAGAAACCGTTGCCAGCGATAAAGCCATCGTCACCACGGTACGCGTTCCCCTCGGCAAAAAGGAGAAGGGACACAAGCAGCCGATTTCGCCTGTTGTAAAGGAAGTAGTGTTGCGAGAACAGGGAGCGGGACACCATGGGGTCGCAGCTGGGGCACGCAAAGCGGAAGTACTCGCATCCCTGGCTTGCGTCCATCACCTGCTCGCTCACGAGCGTCCAAAACTGCTTCACCGCCAGGCGACAGGAGTCTGGCATAGAGTGCAGAGTAACATCCACCTCGGCCCGCACCTGCGCCTCGTTGCAGACCACAAAGTCCTCCTCCGTGAGTACCGAGAAGTCGTAGCCCTCGTCGCCGTATATGCTGTTCAGGGCAGCCACGAGGTAGACGAGCCGCTCGTCAATCGCCTCCGGGTCAACGGGCTCAAAAACAACTGGTGAAGTGCTGCTCAACTGCAGCGGCGGGGGCGACACACTGCAGTTGGGGGCGGGAGCGAGTGGTGGGGTGTTCGCATTCGCGTACTGTGCCATGGAGGCCGCGAGCTGCTTCTTTTTGCGGGTTTTGCGGCAGGTGAAAGCCTCCAACCGCACCGTCATGAGGCACCCCTGCGCCTCGACGCCTTGGAGCAGGGAATTCAGAAATTCAAAGCTTGCAAGGGGAACAAAATCCATCCGTGCCTCAACAAACAACGGCAAAAGGAATAAATACAACTACCAGCGACCTCAACGCAAACAGAGGGAAATTCGAACAGTGGCACGCGGATAACACACTAGCAGGGGCTAAAGGAACGCGGACTGTCACTGTGTAGATGCTGTTACTGTCTTTTGAACGACCTCCCACTCCCCCCACTTCCCACTTCAGGGAGACCTAAAATCTATAGTTCTTTCAGTTTCCTTGATGTTGCCCTTGGCGTCTCCTTTTATCAGTACGCCACACGCACACACACACACACACACTTCGTCGCTCACTGTGTGTGATTCTTGTTCAGCACGTATATGTACCGGTCTTTGAATGGAGTTGCCGCATCGTAGCCCAGTGGGTTATGCGTGCATTGGGGAGGATCAAAGAGGAAGAGGCCAGGAACGGTGTAAGACACAACAAGCAGGCAGAACTCATCAAGGGCAGCTAGAAGTGAAAAAGCAACTCTGCAATTCATGGTCGTTACCACCACAAAAGCAGCGGGGAGACAAACTAAAGGCAGAACGTTTGTTTGTTTTCTGCGCTTTCGTCTTTTATTGCCCACATGTATAAGATTTCTATGGCCGTGGCGGTGCCACATAGATGCCGCCAGTCCTCAAAACTGCAGACATAAACGTTATTCCCGCCATTTTTGGTATCCTTCTTGTTTGCTTTCCCGCACCTTTTTTTTGTTTTTGGTTTGCTTTCGGGGAAGGGGGGGAGGGTTCCCCCGGTGGCGCAGCCTTTCATCGTGCGTGGCTCCGCTTTCTCTTCGCCGCGGACCTCTTGAGGGCATGCGCCATCGCCCTCGGCACTCTATTCAGCTTGGGCCGCTGCCGCCGCAGTGTTTGCGCCCTCTGCGCAGCAGCGGCGCGTGTGGGGGCTGCCGCATTCCCCACCGCCGTCTTTTTGCACGTGGGCGCCCGCCGCGCATGGCGTGAGCCGCGCTTTTTTGCTGCCCGGCTGCCCCTCTTTCGCGCGGAGTCTGCCACCTCCGCCGGCGCGGGGGCCACCGCCGTGTGCGTCATCTTTGCCAGCGGCTGGGCCTTCTTTCGCGTCGCTGAGGCGTTGCCCCGCGGTGGTGTGGCCTGGCCGGCGTCAAGCGGCCGCATCATCTTCTCGTTGCGTGCCGTCTCCGCCGTGCACTCCCGCAGCTGTTCACAGAAGCCCTCAAAGAAGGAGCAGCCGTTGGACAGCTTCTTCTTCAGCTCCCTCCGCATGTGCTCGTTGCGCCGTGCGGCAACCTCATACGGTTTGCGCTGCTCAAGCGGCAGACCCCGCCAGTTCCGTCGGCAGGCATCCAAAAAGACGGCGTCCTGCTCAAAACTCCCCGCATCAGGTCCGTGCCGTTTAATGTACAACTCCTTCGCGTAGACCTCTAGTGCCCGGTTGGGCAGCTGCGGGACGGGGATGGACTCGAGCATCAGCCAGGGCCGCTCCATGCACTCAAAGAGCTCACGGATGCGGCGGGTCTGATTGTTTTCTACCGCCTCCCGCTGCTTCGCCACCGTCGTGATGCGTCGCTTTAGAGCCACAATCTCCGAGTCAATGTGATGCAGCAAGAACCTGTACGCATCCTCAGAGACGTCTCCGTGTTGCTGCTCCTTCGACGACTGCAGGGCCGCTGCTGGTGGCGGTGGTGAGGATGCAGCCAGGGCTGCTGACACATCTGCGCCGGCGGCACTGTCGTGCGTGGGTTCCGCGAGGTCGCCGTGATGGAGCAAAGGGGTGCCCTTCCTCGTGCTCGGGCTAGTGTGGACGGGGCGAGCCTTTGCCATCACGGCCCGCCCCAGCGTAAAAGGTCCCTCCTGTTCGAAGAGGCATCGCAGTGTGCGGCGCAGCATGCGTGTGCAGAAAGCTACGAAAAACAAGATCTGCCGGCTAAAATCCTGCACGCGCCACGCACGCCAGCATGCAGTGGCTGCGGCAAGAGATGGGAGATGTCTGTGAACTGCACCGCCGCACCCCTCACAACGGTGTGCTGCATAGCAAACAGGGCAGGGGGAAGCAGAAGCGGAAAAAGAACACAAAAAAATCTTGACAGGCACGTTTGTCCTCCTGCAGGCAGTGCACACGAAGGCAATGGCTCGTACTCGATGACCTCACACACCCACACGCTTGCGGATCCGTGCACCCACGCACATATAACCCATCACAACTTCCCAATTAAACACGACGAAGAACAGCCACAACGAAACACGAAGAACAATAAAAAGGGAGACAAACAAAAAAAGTAACGTTGCGCCCCGTTTTACACCAACGCTTATGCCCTGCAGGCTGAGTCTTACGTTAAGTCTTCACTTGAGGGCGCTGTATCCCTGCACATCCGAGGACGCCAACGCCTGCTCGGCCTCCGCACTCCCGGGACGATAGACATGCTCGAGGTCCACCTCACCCCGCACCAGCTGCGTCTCGCGTGTGAGGTGGGCCAGCCGCTTCTCAATGCGCATGACGCGGTGGGCCAGGTAAAGGGCAACGACAAACATGCACAACGCGATCAGCCACCCGCCGGTCCCAAAGAGAGCCACTGCACTCATGATGCACATAAAGTCCAGGCGAAACCACATGAGCAGAATCCACTGTTGCCTAGTAACTTCAGTGTAGTGTGCCACGTGCATCGTGCGGGCCGCAAACAGAAAGGCGGCTGCCAATCCGGGAATCGCAACAAGGTACTGCAGCCACACCGGCATTTCAAAGCGGCACCAGCCAAGGGAGGTGGGAAACACAAACTGAAGGAATGTAATAACGGGGGCCGCTAGTCCACACACCACAACAGCGCCGTATAGCGCATTCCCGTGGCTGTACAAAGGCGGCGGCGGGGTCTCGTCGATGCCTGCCCCCGTGACAGCGTCATCCATGGCCGCCCCCGCACTGCGTGTGAGACGTTGATGCTGGTAGTCGTAGATCTCCACGACGGTGTGCCGCAGCGAGTCAACGACGGCAACGGGGTCCAAATCAGGTGCCTCTTCCGGCGCACACTCCTCCAGCTCCGGGTGGTCCTGCTTCAACGCATTAAGAATTCTCGCCAGGATGAAGTCGAAGGTGAAGAAGAAGATGAGCTCAACCGTCGCCAAAAAAAATATCAGGATCTCCGCCATGGTAAACGTGCCCCTCGATACGACGTATGCAGTGCTTCTCCTGCTGCGAACTAACCCACCCTCTCTCTTCCTCCCTGTTTATATTTCTCTTTCGCGGCCTCCCCGTCTGTCTGTCTATTTGTCTTTATATATCTATATATCTACAAATGCAACGCTGTTATGGTGGCGTGTCTGCTGTAAGCCGTCTCACAACCTTTGCTCCCTTGTGGGCGACAGGCACAACACATACGCGTGAAAGAACAAAAGGTGAAGGCAACAAGCAGAAGCATCACAGCAAACCAAAGAACAAATAAATAAAAACAAAAGAAAAAGAAGAAAAACAGAGGAAGTACCAAAACAAAGAAACAAACAAACCAAAATCCACACGAACACCCCCCCCCCCCCACACACACACAGCACAAACGTCTGCTCCCTCCTCACTTGCAAGCAGACTTTACGGCATTCATAGTGACCATCGTAGCAATGACGCTCTTGCAAGGGGGCAGAGAGAAGCGTCACAGTAACTCCACCTCGGCGCCATGGCCCTCAAACAGTGTCTTGAGCTTCTCCGCGTCGGCTCGTGCCATCGCCTTCACAAGGACGCCTGGACATCGCTCAACGGCAGCTTTTGCCTCCTGCAGCGGGAGCGCAGAGACGGCGCGCAGCTCCTTGATGAGCTTCACCTTGTTGGCCGCGGGGTACTTCCTGACGGTGAAGTCAAATACATTTTTATCCACGGCCTTTCTTGCTGGTGCCCCTTGCGCCGATGCTGCTGCCTCGCCCTGCGTGGGGCTGTTGGGTGGGGCTGGAGCCGCACCAACTGTACCGACGCTGCCGCCGGATACCGCCCCCATGCCTTGCAGTAACGCCTCCTCGTAGGCGAGTGGGGCCGCGGCAGGCGGCCTTGCAGTGCCCTTCAGAACAAACTCGTGAAACTTCCGCATCGTCGCCAGGTCCATATTTACGTACGCCTCAGCGATTGCCTCTACTGTCGCGGCACTGTCCCGCATAGGAAAGGCCTTCATCCCCCGCGGCATCGCAGTGCCAGCCACGCCACCAACGGTGAACCAGCGGCGCAGCAGCCTGGCGCTCACTTCAATTTGCACATGCCGCATGTAAGCTATTTCCCTTCTCTATCCTCAAGGGAATAAGAAAAGGCAGTGCACACCGATAACAGTGTGCGTGTCTGGGCGTGTGGGTGCGCCCGTGCCACAGCCGCAGCGGAGCGGCATTCATGCGGTCGCATCGCCCGCAGCGTTTGGAAGATGAAGCAAGTAGCAGAAGCGACGCCGGCACTTTCCACATCATACACACTCACCGAGAAACCAAAAATAATGAGGTCAAGAGGCCCCTTTTTCTTTTCTTTTTTGGTTTCCCCTTTTGTGTATGTTGCTAATGCCCCGTCATCGATGGGAACCCTTCAATCTCTCCCTGTCTTACTCCTTTCCCTTACCCAATCTTCCTCTCTTACTCCCTGCTTCCCTTCAGCTTGACCCTCGTCACTGCGTGGGCTGACGGGGCCTACGGTGCCGTCGTTGAGGGGATGGCACTGGCCCTCGCCTCCGCTGCCACCGCTGCTATCGGCGGTAGCGGCGGTGGCAGAGACGTCGACGACAGCCGCTCACCACGTGTCGATCTCCGTGAGGTGCGCTGCAGGTACGGGTCCTGGGCGAGCTGCTGCACGTCGTGGCGGTCGGAGGGGTGGTACTCGAGGCACTTCTGTATAAGCTCCTTCGCCTCCTGAGAGACCCGCGGTGTGTCGGGAAACCGCAGCGTGCGGGCGGAGGAGACAATAAGTTTGTCCTGCCAGATGCGCCGCTGCGATTCACCCTCCGCGAAGGGGCGCCTGCCGAACAGCATCTGGTAAAAAATGATGCCGCAGGACCAGACGTCCACCTTGTTGCTAATCCGGGGCGTGGCCGCGGTGTCGAAGCACTCCGGCGGCAGGTACCAGTAGGTCCCTGTGCCCTGCGACGTAAGCTCAATTGTAGGGTTGTCGCACGGCCCATCGCGGCTCTGGATCAACTTGCTGAGACCAAAATCCGTGATCTTGATGTCCAGACTGCTCGCATTGCTCGAGTGAAACAAAATGTTCGCAGGCTTTAGGTCGTAGTGGATGATCGGTTGCTCCTGCGCCGCCAGGTAGCGGAGGGCGCTGACGATCTGCAGGAGGACTAACCGCGCCTCCGTCTCCCGCATGCACCCGCACCGCTTGAGGTGCGTGTCGAGGTCGTTTCCCCGGCTGTACTCCATGACAGAGACGAACATCGCCTCGCCGTGCTCAAACTCGTCGTACAAGCGCGTGAGGTGTGGGTGCTGCAGGGTTCGCATGATGGCCAGTTCGCGGTCAGCGTGACGGCGGTAGTGCAGGCGCGTCTGCGCTGACCACTCGCGTTGCATGCGGTGGATCTTGCACGCCACGTAGCGCGCCTCCTGCAGGTCGAACGCCTTCCACACCTCCGAGAAGCCGCCTTTGCCAAGCAGGTGCATCAGCACGTACCGCCCCCCCTGCCCAATGGCCGGCACGGCCATGAACTCCGAGGCATCCTCGTCGCTCACGCGGCGTATCTCCTTCAGGAAGGCCTTCTTCTCGTGATCCAGCTCCAACTGCCGCTGCTTCACCGCCTGTATGCTGCCGCCAAGTGCGGCAAACTCGGAGACGTACAGTTGCAGCGCCTCTTGCGACTCCATCAGCGCGTTCTGCGTCTCTGGCGTCATGGAGTCCTCGTCACTGCTGCGCAACAGCTGCCGGACACGCTTCTCTGCTGCCTTCTTCAACTCCTCCACCTCATCACGGCGGGACGCCAACTCCTCCAGCTGCATGATGAGCTCCTTCGGGGTGTTGCCCTCCACCCACACCTCGCGACCGCCGCTGTGCCACATCGCAATCTGGCCGAGCTCAAAGTGTTTCTGGTGCAGCGCCCTTCGCGCGTCGCTCCTCGCCTGCCGCGCCGTGCGTAGCATCTCCTCCTGCAGCACACGCTGATAGTGCTCCGCGCGCAACGCCACCTGATTCAGCTGTGCTTCGGACGAGGCAAGCGCCCCCTCCGCGGCCACCACCTTTGCCTCCATCGACAACAGTCGCTCCCGCAACTCGTCAATCTGTGCATCCCTGTCCGCAATCTCCTTTTTGAAGGTCGAGGCGTCTGTGATGAGTCCAAATGAGGCAAGCGTCACCTGCCGCAGCTTCCGCTCGTGGGGAGGCCCACCAGCACCACCACTGCAGGAGATGTTCGGTGCAGGCACACACACGCAGTCGCCGGCGCCGTCGCCATCGCTGCTATCAGTGGGTTTCTCCAGAGAGGTGGGAGCATAACTCTTCAGGGGGGAGTGGCACGCGGAGCCCTTTTTTTCCTGCGGCGGCGGTGGCGGTGGCGGTGGCTCAACATCCACCACATCAGTGCCCACGTCCCCCTCACGCGACCGCTTTCGCTGCTGCCGCGGCTCACTGTACCGCATGGCACCTTCTAAGACATTGTGACACGAGGGATAAAAGGACGCATGGGAGTTTGCATACACATCTCAATTTGTACTACATCTTTTGCAAAAGCACGCCACATCGATTGGATGCCCATTTGTTCTCCGAGTGAGGGATAGAGAGAGTGAGTGAGTGTGTCTGGCACGCAGAGACAGCGGAGATGGGTCCACTGTGAACGCGTATGCATACTACACAATACGGGGCGCCCTCTTGGCCCACACACCTTTTTCACCGCAGCACCCGCTCCACCAGCCAGTGGCCCCCCTCAAGATACAGCACAAGAACGAAGGGATCGACCAGCTCCGGCACGTTGCTCTGCAGACACACTACACATTGCTGCAGCACCAGCCTCTGCTCCACGGGGGAGTAAAACGCCGCATGCCCTCCGCAGGAGCAGAGCACCCAGTCCGTCGACTCCCGCACCGCCGTCTCCTCCAAGCACATCACCGGCTCCACAAACTCCAGCGTGGCCTTGAAGACGCACTCACGGTGAAAGTTCACCTGGTCCATGGAGCGACTCCGCACGACGCGAGGGTCCTCGAGAAACGCTAGCGAGTCAACCGGCACCGTCGTCCGTTCCCCCTCCTTGCTGGTGTGAATGAGCATGTTGAGGTAGCCCTTCTTGATAAAGGCGAGGTCCGGCGTCGTCTCCAGCGCGGCTGCCTCCCGCCGCTTCCCCATCCCGTCCCCACAAAATAACTACGCCGTGTAACACGCTCGCAGCGGCACGCACTTTTGTTGTTGTTGCCATTTGGCCAGCCATGAAGAAAACGGCAGACACACATATTGAAAAAAAAAAGGCAATGGAGGAATGCAGGGGAGTGAAAAGAGAGAAAAACAAATAAGAATAATAAAAGGGCCTGCAGTGTGCTCGTGGCACAACCTGCAACAACCTCAGCCGCGCGCACACACCCACACAACACGCATATATCACTAAATTCAGCCCCGCGGCCGCCAAGAGATGGCACTCCACACCCACTGAGACGGCAGCCGTGCCTACCACAGTTCGACAGCCTCCGGCCGCAGCAGCTCCCCATCTTCATCGTACACCGCCTCCCCGTCTTCCTCCTCCGCCGCCAGCCTCATGTCGTCGTCATCACTCGATATGGCGAGGCCGTTCCAACTGTCATGAGCCCCCGCGGCCCCGCGGACCATGGGATCACCGGAAAACAGTGTTGCCTCCTTTCGCAGCTGTGGTGCAGCGAAGATGCACTTCCCAAACTGTTCTGCCACTATAGAAAAACCGTCGGCGTCGTTGGCGGCGCCTAGGCGTTCAAAGAACACATTGGGATCACTGTGCCGCTCTTCCACCTCACGCTGCTCCGCCGCAAGCCGGCGATGCGCCGGGGCGCAAACATTGCACTCCGTGATGTCATTGAGGCAGCGTTGGTGGAAGGAGTGCTGGCACATGAAGTGCACCACCGGGAGGTCCAGTGCGGTGTGGCAGTGGTAGCACTTGTGCGCCTGGAAGACGGTCGCCTTCGTCTGCAACGCGTCTATTTCGCTGTGCAACTCGTGCAGTTTCTTCAGCCGCGCGTCAATGAGACTGTGCAGCTCCTCCGCCCGCTGCGCGTCCCTGCGCATCATCCGCAGAACGTACTCGCGTACGGTGCCAAGCTGAAGTTTCGGGTTGGTGCTGAGAACCTCCACCACGGCGAGCGGGGAGAGGAGATTGTGCGCCTCAATGCATTCCAGCACCTGCACCAGGTCCTTCCACTCCGTATCTGGGCTGCGGACAAGCAGCGAAAGGAGTGACAACCACAACTCCTTCGTGGATTCGTCGAACCCTCTGTTGCCGCTGTTGTCCACATTCGCCTTGCTACGGTCACTAACCCCACCGCTACTACTCTGCAGGTTGCCGCCGCCCTGCTGCAGTTGGGTGCAGCAGGCGTCAATAAGTTTCTCTCGCGCTGCCCGTCGTATCGCCGGCGTGGCACCCTCCTCCAGCCTCTTCGCATAGTACTGCATGATATCGGAGGGGAGATGCAGACGCCGCAGCAGCAACAACACTCCCTCCTCGAAGTCGTGCTGCTCCGCCAGGGCTAGGGCATGGTAGTCGTCGTAACTGCCAGCGTACGCCTCCATGAACGTCAGCGCCTGTTCAAGTCGCCGCTCGTAGGGTTCCACCGTGTACACCTCCGTCCCCTCCGGCGTCACCTGGTGGCGGATGCACTGCCGTAGCTCCCGCGTCATGTACAACTCAAGCAGGGTGTTGTACACCAGCCGCTGCGACTCATCTCCGCCGTCAATCACGCCGCTCTCCACCACCGCACGCAAAAAGTAAAATAAACACACAGGGGAATCAACAAACACCTGCATGAACTCCTTCGCCTCGCCACGGTGCGGCGGGCGTGATTGCCGCTGAAGCGGATAGCTGTAGTTCTGTGCAGCGCCGCGGTGGGGGCGGGTGGGGTCCGCGAGACGCCGCGCAGGCCCCTTCCACTGAATGCACAACTCCGCCACCACCTCGGTGCTGGCGCGGGGCTCCATGCCGGCCAAGTCCTTCCCAACCTCGAGCAGGATGGCCTCGGCGTCGTCGACGCCCAAGGTGCGAATAAACGCAAGCGCCTTCGTTGGGTTGTGGAGGTTCTCGAGCTGAATCATCACGTAGTCGTGTGGCTGGGCGTACTTCTCCGCAAGATAAATCGCGGCATCGTAGTATCCCGCCTGGCGGCACACCTCAATGGCGTTGTGAGCGTCAAAACGAATGTCGTCGCGGTGAATGAACGCCGACAGCCGCGCCTCATCCCGCAGTTTGATGTAGCAGTTCAGCAGCAGCGTCGTGTGGCTGCGGTTGGCGAGGTTCCCGTGGCGCTTGTGGTGCAGCTCCTCCAGATACCGGGTGAGGTCGGTCGTGTGTTGTCCATTGACGAAGATTCGAATGACGTACGAGGGCTCGAGGAAGCCAATAGCCTCAATGTACTGATCGATGGCCTCCGCGTATTTCTCCTTCGATACGAGGTAATCACCATACTTCTTCTGTATGCTCATCTGCTGCGAGGCGTCTGCGGCGTGCAGCCGACGCACAAGCCGCTTCGCCACATCGTAGCACTCCTTCTGAAAGAGTTGCTCCAGCCGGGCCTGGAGGTCCGTTTCTACCAGCCGCACCACGCGCTGCGCCACAAACTCTTCATGTCTCGCCTCCTGGCAAATGACAAGAATGTCGACTGCATCGGCGACCAGCCACGCGGCGTTGGTGCAGGCGTTCTCCTGCGTGCGGGCCAAACACCGCAGACGGTTAAACAGGTCGTAGCACTGCAGCGTGAATTTCTCCGGCCGCGCCCCGCTCTGCGTCAGCACAACGACGTAGCCGCGGTGTGCCAGTAGCCGCCGCTTGCGCCCCTCCACCTCCGCAAAGTGCACAGCACCAAAAAGTGTGGGATCGAACACCGGCAGAGTGATGGACGTCTGTGCCGAGGGCGACAACACCTCCTCGCTTCCGAAGATGGCTATCTGGTCGCTTGTGGTGCTCGCGACGACCAATTGGCCGCCGTCAGTCAGGCTGCAGCACTCCGGCGCCGCCCCAAAGGGTGGGTCGCAGCGGTGCTCAGCGTAGTCCGCGGCGCCGGTCACCTGCCACACCGTCACAACGTCGGCAAAAACAATGTACAGCGCATGCGCGACAGCGTTCCCGGCGCCGGGCCCAAAAAGGTGCTGTTTGCCCTGCGCCCCACGTGGTGTGAACTTCGCCCCCGGGAAGCCGACAAAAGCGATGGCCCCGCGTGCCACCCCACTGCGAAGGCGACGCATCTTCACGCTGGGGTCGCGCTCAAGGTCGCCGCGCAGGACCACAACCTCGTCGCTGACGAGCGCCACCGCGGCGTTCTGAAGGTCCTCCGAGACATCAAAGTCCACCACAACAGTGCGAAACGCCGTCACAGGGATGGCGTTCTCCGCGTCTCCCTCCCGCCCTCTAAACTTCAACGAGCTCATCAACTCCGCGTTGTAGTTGGTGCGCAGAACAACACTCTCAGACGGCGGTGGGTACTTCGCTCCGAAGAGACGATGCTCCCTGCACGGCGGTGTGGACTCGGACACCGCGTCCAGGCTCCACACCCGCAGGATGCCGGTGTTCAGCGCGTCGTCATCACCGATGGTGACGAGTACGTTCCGTGAACGCAGGTGCTTCATGTGCGTCACGGCCCCCTTGTACGCGGGGAACTCCAGCAGCGTCGTGGCGCCACCGCGGTCCACGGCGTACACGAACCCCTCGCCGTCGCCCACGAAGAGGGCTTTGTGGCCGTAGCAGCAACTCGTTATCTCCATGCGGCTCAGCGGCCCCTTCAGCACCTCCGACTCGAAGAACTTAAAACTCCGCCAGACCGCCGCCATTGACAGCAAAACCGCCTGAATACGCGATACAAGCAAACACTTTACTAGACACGGCACCGCAGCGGGGATCAAAGTAATGCACGCAGAGAAACAGACGCGTCGTTGAGCGTCAAGACGAGAGATGGAGAAAGGAAAGAATACGAAGGACGAAGAGAGGTTAAGTGAACACGGGACAGCCGCATGCGGCGGACGTCTCTGTGTCAGTGTGCAGGGCAAACCAACAACAACAGCAACAACAACAGCTGAGCCGATGAAGATCAAAACACAAGAAGGGCAAATCGGGCGCTTTAATGTGGATAGGGATGATGAAGGGCTCTGACTACACAATGCCTCATACTGAGCCCACCCGGTGCCGAATCGCACGCATGTCTGCCGTGTCCTTCTCCAGTAGCTCTACTAGGGCTTCTACCCCCTCCTGAATGTGCTCCGCAAAACGTGTCCAGTTCTTTAGAAGCTGTGGGTCTGTGCGTCGCTGCAGCATACCACCCTCTTTCGGAATGGCGGGCTCACGCGCCTCCTCCTCACCCGGGCAGCTTCGAAGAAGCGATGCGACAGCTGCGGACTCGGCGTCCAGGAAAGGTTGCAGCTCTGATAGTGCCGCCTTGTACACACCTGGCGCCGCAAGCTGCAGCTTGAGGGTCTTGACAATGCTTGCGATGCGTCCCTCCTCGCCAAGCGGCAACCCGAGGCGTCGAAGCGTCTCCACTTTCTTCACAAGTGAGTACCATCGACGCTGCAGCATGACCTGCTCCAGCATCAGCTCCCGGCACTGAGCGACATTTGCCTCGTCCAACTGTCTAAAGTGCTCTGCTTTTGAGATCAGCGCCTCCACGTGCTTCCGCATGGCTGCAATGGCCTCCTGCTGCTTCTCCACCCGCGCCTTCAGCTCCAGCATGAAGTGCACGGGCGTCGGGTACATGCGAAGCGGATCCGGGTTGCGTTCCTGCGCCCGCAGCAGTTCCTCCTCCCTGCAACCGCCGCCTGCCTGAGCAGTGATAAATCGCTCCCGCTCCACCGCCATGGTCGATTGCCCGGGGGTACACATGTTGTAGAGAAAGGCACGAAAGCGGCAGTTGGGGTGCAGGGCGTTGTATGCGTTGTCCAGCTCCAGCAGGTAACGCCCCAAGGTGCTCTGTCCCCCAAATTCCTGAAGGTTCTGTGCCGCTCTCATCGGATCATTATTATTTGCATCTGCCGCCACCCCAAATCCACCAGCACCCGCCACCCCAAAACCGCCAGTCGCCGTGCTGGCGGCAGTCCCAAAACCGCCAGTCGCCGTGTTGGCGGCAGTCCCAAAACCGCCAGTCGCCGTGTTGGCGGCAGTCCCAAAACCGCCAGTCGCCGTGTTGGCGGCAGTCCCAAAACCGCCAGTCGCCGTGCTGGCGGCAGTCCCAAAACCGCCAGTCGCCGTGCTGGTGGCAGTCCCAAATGCACCAGCAGGGGCACCAAACATCCTTCGTTTTCCACTAAACTTGACGCAATTGTTTGAAAGAGAAATGCGCGGTGCACTTGTGGGGCGTTGAGTGAGCCGGAAGCGGCGTTCCCAAATAGCAGTGGGGTTGCTCAAACGCTGTCACCACGCGCTGCATTGGACTGCCCACCGCAGACAGC